GTTAACGAACACACACACACACGAACACACACACACACACATATATATATATATATATATATATATATATATATATATATATATATACTTTTAAGACATTATCTAGAATCTATCGCCGTGATGTTAATTGGTAGAATTTCTCTAATAAACCATGAATGGCATTGATATCTGGAGAGTTTGAGAAACAAAGAAACGAAGAACTCTTCTTTCAATCTTTTATACAATTCTTGTAAATACCAAATAAGCGCTTACGCGATCAAATATGTACCCCAGAAACCTTATCTATGATATTTTGTCATGATGTTAACTGCTAGGATTTCTGCAATAAACCATGAATGGCATTGATGCCTGGGGAATTTGAGCACCAAAGCAACAGTAAATTGTCCTTTTGCTCCCTTAAAGCATTCTTGTAAACGGCGTACCCTATGCCGAGATGGCGTACATTTCCAGCTGTAAATGTCACTGCTAATCTCCATGTTTATTGTTATGAAGCTAGTCTTCAAGTATGAGCTCGAAATACCTTCAGGTGAGGTTATAGAACACCGGATTTCCCAGCACAACGTATCCCAAACTATCAGACAGTCCGATCTGGAGGCTTTAAACACCAAAATATAACTACCCTGGCCTTTTAAGAGAAAACGGGACATCGGATATTCTTCTGCTGTACAATTCCGATTCAAACATGTAAATTGAAACGTCATTTGATGATAAACATTGGTTGTCACAGGTACTCTAAATGCGGCTACACATGTATATGTACAACAATGGACGGTATACGATGTATTGCTGCTGGTCCTTCCGCCAACCTTGATTAAAACTTTGAGCCCTGACAACCGCTTTACCAGTGGTAGAGAAATCTGACAAAATGCCCAGCCACCGGTTGAACAGTGGTAGATAAAAATTACGTAATCCCAAGCCACCGGTTCAGCAGTGGTAGAGAAAAATGATGTAATGCCAAGCCACCGCTTGAACAGTGGTAGAGAAAAATGACGTAATGTCAAGCCACCGGTTGAACAGTGGTAGAGAAAAATGACGTATTGCCCAGCCACCAGTTGAACAGTGGTAGAGAAAATGACGTATTGCCCAGCCACAAGTTGAACAGTGGTAGAGAAAATGACGTATTGCCCAGCCACCGGTTGAACAGTGGTAGAGAAAAATGACGTATTGCCCAGCCACCAGTTGAACAGTGGTAGAGAAAAATGACGTATTGCCCAGCCACCAGTTGAACAGTGGTAGAGAAAAATGACGTATTGCCCAGCCACCAGTTGAACAGTGGTAGAGAAAATGACGTATTGCCCAGCCACCAGTTGAACAGTGGTAGAGAAAATGACGTATTGCCCAGCCACCGGTTGAACAGTGGTAGAGAAAAATGACGTAATGTCAAGCCACCGCTTGAACAGTGGTAGAGAAAAATGACGTAATGCCAAGCCACCGGTTGAACAGCGGTAGAGAAAAATGACGTATTGCCCAGCCACCAGTTGAACAGTGGTAGAGAAAATGACGTATTGCCCAGCCACAAGTTGAACAGTGGTAGAGAAAATGACGTATTGCCCAGCCACAAGTTGAACAGTGGTAGAGAAAATGACGTATTGCCCAGCCACCGGTTGAACAGTGGTAGAGAAAATGACGTATTGCCCAGCCACCGGTTGAACAGTGGTAGAGAAAATGACGTATTGCCCAGCCACCAGTTGAACAGTGGTAGAGAAAATGACGTATTGCCCAGCCACCAGTTGAACAGTGGTAGAGAAAAATGACGTATTGCCCAGCCACCAGTTGAACAGTGGTAGAAAATGACGTATTGCCCAGCCACCGGTTGAACAGTGGTAGAGAAAAATGACGTATTGCCACCGGTTGAACCCAGCCACCACTGGTTGAACAGTGGTAGAGAAAATGACGTATTGCCCAGCCACCAGTTGAACAGTGGTAGAGAAAAATGACGTATTGCCCAGCCACCAGTTGAACAGTGGTAGAGAAAATGACGTATTGCCCAGCCACCAGTTGAACAGTGGTAGAGAAAATGACGTATTGCCCAGCCACCGGTTGAACAGTGGTAGAGAAAAATGACGTATTGCCCAGCCACCGGTTGAACAGTGGTAGAGAAAATGACGTATTGCCCAGCCACTGGTTGAACAGTGGTAGAAAATGACGAAAATGACAGTGGTAGAAAAAATGACGTATTGCCCAGCCACTGTTGAACAGTGGTAGAGAAAATGACGTATTGCCCAGCCACCAGTTGAACAGTGGCAGAGAAAATGAAAAGTTGCCCAGCCGTATTGAAAAGCCATTGTTGAACACTGGTGAACAGTGGTAAAATGACGTATTGCCCAGCCACCGGTTGAACAGTGGTAGAGAAAATGACGTATTGCCCAGCCACTGGTTGAACAGTGGTAGAGAAAATGACGTATTGCCCAGCCACCGGTTGAACAGTGGTAGAGAAAATGACGTATTGAAATGCCTCCAGTTGAACAGTGGCAGAGAAAAATGACGTATAGCCCAGCCACCAGTTGAACAGTGGTAGAGAAAATGACGTATTGCCCAGCCACCAGTTGAACAGTGGTAGAGAAAATGACGTATTGCCCAGCCACCGGTTGAACAGTGGTAGAGAAAATGACGTATTGCCCAGCCACCGGTTGAACAGTGGTAGAGAAAATGACGTATTGCCCAGCCACTGGTTGATCAGTGGTAGAGAAAATGACGTAGTTGAACAGTGGCAGAGAAAATGACGTATTGCCCAGCCACCAGTTGAACAGTGGTAGAGAAAAATGACGTATTGCCCAGCCACCAGTTGAACAGTGGCAGAGAGAAAATGACGATTGCCCAGCCACCAGTTGAACAGTGGAGAAAATGACGTATTGCCCAGCCACTGGTTGAACAGTGGTAGAGAAAATGACGTATTGCCCAGCCACCGGTTGGACAGTGGTAGAGAAAAATGACGTATTGCCCAGCCACCGGTTGAACAGTGGTAGAGAAAATGACGTAATGCTCAGCCACCGGTTGAACAGTGGTAGAGAAAATGACGTATTGCCCAGCCACCAGTTGAACAGTGGCAGAGAAAAATGACGTATAGCCCAGCCACCAGTTGAACAGTGGTAGAGAAAATGACGTATTGCCCAGCCACCAGTTGGACAGTGGTAGAGAAAATGACGTATTGCCCAGCCACTGGTTGAACAGTGGTAGAGAAAATGACGTATTGCCCAGCCACCGGTTGAACAGTGGTAGGGAAAAATGACGTAATGCCAAGCCACGAGTAGAACGGTGGGTTAACACATTTAACTATTTTTTTTATCTACCATAAAACATTACATGCCAATTATTTGCGAATTTTGACTCGGTAGCTCAGGTAGGAGGATTGAAATTGCTCAGGGACGCAGGAGTCAAAGTGTTAAAACTATTTGCCACAGTAGCCCACTTGAATAAAATCTGTGTTCACTTTTCACATTGATGAATTTGTTTTCCCTGGCCATAACCGCGGCGTTAAAATTATAAACGGAAGTAACTGAGTCAGGCTTATTTGTTTATGTAACTCTAACCCGGACATATGCCGTTGGTACAAGTCAATAGCTCTCATTCTTGCCACATGTCTTTGTTGATAACTATTGACCCATCAGTATATAGGCTTAGGGTTGTATCGCGTTGAAATGCTACGCACGATCACCAAAGTTAAGCAACGTCGAGCCTGGTTAGTACCGAGAGGGGTGACCGCTTGGGAATGCTGTAAGCTTACATGTGTGGGTAAATGTGTAATGGATAACGGCTAAGAATTTGGACATCGGATAGCCGAGTTCCAATTCGGCGCAAACACACTTGCAAAAGTTATGAATCCACCTCTTCTCCCCTCCAGATATGGGTTAATTAGTAAGACTTGTATCAATAAATCATTATCATCCCCACCCCCAAATTCTTACAATCTAAAAATATTTTCTCTTTAAACAACCTTCACAAGTTTGATAAACCGTAAAAAATCAAAAACACCGAATGTTTTCCGAAAGAGTATAGTTTCTTATACTTATAAGATTACTACTACTACTACTCCTAATAATAATAATAATAATAATATATATTGGCTCATGTTTTGAAACATGAGACTTCTTATGTAGCGTTTTAGAATCATATTTGTAAATAAATAATTATATTTATGCTCTATTTTGTATCGAGCACTATTTTTTTAAAATAATAACTAAAATACTAAGGGACTTTGGATTATTTACCTAACCAGTTCCTTCCTATTTTCTATATATTTTCACATATATATATATATATATATATATATATATGTCGTATTCTATAGAGAAATTATTCTAAACGTGTGTTTTTGCAATGTTCTGCTTCAAATAATACGGTTTTTTTTCTTATGAAAACTTGTAGTTGTGTATAACACGACCCCATTTTTGCTTTTAGTTTTCGATCAAAATTACGCGTATTATGTGCAAGAAAATACGGTATATTCTTTATTTTTCTCAGAATTTGACTCAAATTAACACAACTTTCTACAAATAAGTTTGGAGAAATTTAAGGATTATACTTGTGTATAACACGACCCCATTTTTCCCTTTTAGTTTTCGTTCGAAATTACACCGTCTCATGTCCAAAACAAAAACAAAAAACGGTATATTCCTTCTTTTTTCTCAAAATCTGACACAGCTTCCTACAAATAAGGGTTGAGCAATTTAGGATTTGCTTATCTTTCCTGAAACAGGCTCTAGTCCTAAATAGTTTGTAAAAAATTTCTTTACTTTTTTTATTTTGTTAAATTGCGTCAATGTTACGTTGATATTTATCTGACGCAAAAAAAAAAAAAAAAAAAAAAAAAAAAAAACGATATATTAACAAAGTCGGAAGAATTAATTCAAAGTAAAAATGGTTTTCTTAGGATTTCGGACCATATATAACAATCACTTGATCTAAAAACCAGCTCAAAATGTGACACGAATTATAAAATTAAAAAAAATATATCATTGTCAAGTCTAAAAGAATATGAATATATTTTTAGAATTTTCTACGTACCCTTTGTTGTCGAAGTCCCGTTTTTCTTTTCTGGTTTCGCTGAAAAAAAAAAATAACAAAATATGAAAATACATTTCCGAGGATGATGTAAATAATTATCGAAACATTTAACACAATTAACCATAACTCTTGATTGCTAATCAAATATTATATACGAGCTAGTATTAATTCTCTTACGCACAGGCATATTTTCAAGATAGGGTAGTTCTTCTTCGCCGTTCTGGGTATGACGTTAAACAATATTTGCGTCCTGGGTAAGACGATAAACTACATCCGACAGCAAGGCCTTTGATCAGAAGGTTTTGAGGAGCGTGGAACAACCTCTTAATTGCTGGTGTTCCCATGTACACTCTGACCCGGAGTGGCAGCACGTGTTATGGTCCCAGAAAATACTTACCGCCCCCACCCCAAAGGAGTCAAAACACTATAAAAGTATAAAAATAGGTTTTAAAACCAACAACACTATTTTAGAAAAAAATTACCAGCAATAGATTTTTGAAATAAGAAAATATCCCCAGCAATACATTTTTGAATAATATATATATATATATATATATATATATATATATATATATATATATATCGGCATTAAGCAACCCATTGTCGGCATTAAATAACCCATTGAGGTCGGTATGCCGTAAGACAAATCAAAGTCAACAAAACTTCTCGACTAGGAAAACTGTCGAAACAATTTGTAATTTGTGTAAGTTTAAGCTAATTGTATTTAATAAATATTAATTAAATATAGTCTAGAATAGCACAAGGCCACAATAATGGGGCGTCCAATTAGGAGCAAACAAATTAACCATACCTCATCAGATCAGCTTATTAACTGTTGCTTCATGGCTATAATCCGTATCTATTAAGCTTAGGCTAGTCTGACACAAAGCCTGACTAGAAGGGAAACTCAGAAAGTCAGTACCTTATAACAAAAAGAGATCTGCCAGTCTTACTTCCTAAATGTTGCCCTACTAAGGGACCCTATTTCCCATATGTATTATGCATTATATGTACAAGCATAATATTTCATTCTTTTACCCATACACACATTTTCCAGATAGGGTAATCCTTCTCCACCACGAAAACTGCCGTAACAATTTCTTATTTGTGTTGGGCTAAGCTAACTGTATTTAATATCTATATGAATATTAAGTAAACATACTCTAGTGTGGCACAAGACCACAGTAATGGGGCGTTCAATAAGGATCGAACAAAATAACCATATCTCATAAGATCAGCTTATTAACTGTCGCTTCATGGCAATACTCAGCTTCCCGTATGTTTTAAGCTTAGGCTAGTATGACACAAAGACGCAATAGTAGAGATATGGAAACTCTATACATTATAGAAAGAGATCTGCGAGTTTTACTTCCTAAATGTTGTCCTTCGAAGGAACCCTATTTACCATATGTCAACCTGGGTCCCTGCAGAGTGTGCATTTTTAATTTTGATACAAAATTAAATGAAGATTTCTCCGCTCCTTCGATAAAGAAGCCATATCTCTAACCTACTTAATAGCAACTTGTTGCATTGTGTGACGAATCGAGTCACGTGGTAAGCTGCAAAAATACGGCGTCTTTTACTGGTTTTAGAAATGCCAGTCGTTTTCTTGCAGAACAGTTTTAGGAAAATGAAAGACAAAATGCAAAAAATTTTTCGTTTTCCGTCTTAAGGAATAAAAGTGATGTTTACGTTGATGTAACTACACATGCGCTAAAATTTTAACCTTTTAAATTGTTTTTATGATTTTTGGGCAGATAGTCTAAACAATTTCATTTAATTTCTTATTTTCTTTCTTTCTTTCCTTCTTTTTTATTTTTTATTTTTTTTTTATTTTTATTTTTTTGCTGTTTATGTTTCTATCGCTTTAGTTATTAAGTATGCCACAGAGTGATAAGAGCTATGCCAAGAATGGACGAAAATTTACTGTGGATGATCTAGCGATTAAAGCACTTTCTATATACTTTCATCTTAGGATATTGCGTTCTCTTATAATCAAAGTAGTATTTTTTAAAAATCTAAGTTATGGTCAGACTTATTACAGTAAAGAATTAATGCATTTTATGTGTTTGTCTTGTGAAACATGCCTTTTGTATTTAGATAATATTTTTTAATTAAATTCCTCGAAGTTTCTCCTATGTATTCCTTGAAGTAGGAATTTACTCTATCACTTGTAATAATTGCTACAAAACTGAAGTAACAAAAAAAAAAGACTTTCAAGTACCGTTTTATGGCTCGTAAAAGTTTTCCTTCTTACAATCACTGAGTCCATAATACATGATTTTTGTTCTTTTACTTTCTTTTATCCTTTTTAACTTAAATATTTTAAAGTGTCCATGGAATGTCGTTTTGACATGTTTGTTATGTTCATTGTCAACCCTGACAAATGGAGAATACCTTCCCCAGTCCAAGTAGTTGATGATTTTAGTGTAATAAGAAAGAAGAACGTCCATTACGTTTGATTGGTTTGGCTTGTTTTGTTTTACGGTATATCAACCTCAATGGGTGATTTAATGCCAACAAGATATTTATTACTGGTGATATTCTTTTTCAAAAATGTATTTCTGGCAATAATGTATTGCTTGAAATAATTTTCCTTCAAAAATTAATTCCTGGTAATAATTAAAAGTATTGATGGTATTAAAATCTATTTTTACAATTTCATAGTATTTTGAATCCAGTTCGGCGGTTAAATATTAGCCCATAGCTGGGACCCTAGCAGGTGCTACCACCCTGTGTCAAGGTGGACCTGGGAACACCAGTATTTAAGAGGTGGTTTATGCTCCTCAAAACCTGATCACAGGCCTTGCTGTCGGATGTCGTTTATCGGCTTACTCAGGTTGCCTCATTTGGAGGCGGGGCCTTACTCTTCTACAATGGTGCAGTCATGGTATTCTGAAGTCACAGCCGACAGGGTGAATGTCCCTTTGGAAAATAAAGAAAATGGAGACTGCAAGAGAAGAAATGTCTTGTTCCCCCAGAGATCGAGAGACGCTGTTTTGTTATTGACAAAACAAACAGACCAAAGGCCGTATATCGTTCTTATGAGAAGATCTAGAGAAACGCCCTCTTATCACAGCTGCTATGTCCATTGGCAGCAATGGAGAAAAATTCTTGTTTGTTAGTGAAAGTAGTTTGGAACAGAGGATATTTGTATAATGATGGCAGCTAAAGTGACTTTAAATGAGACTGGAAAAAAGCACCAGTAAAGAATAACTCATTTTTTTTCACAGACGAATAGGCACAATTTAGTCCTTGCAAAACAAGCAAGACACACGACAAAAGAACTGTTGTCGACACTGACCACTGAACTCTATCTTATCGTTAAGAGAAAAGCACACAAACGTTCAGACGAAAGAGCCATAAAAGTACAAAGGGATATAAACGTATTAAAGTTCATATCAATTGATGGTCTGATTTATCTCGCGTACGCGTGTGACAATTTGTCGCCACCGGTCTCCGGGGTAAAACGGATGGTGTTTTTGCGTTGCTAGCCGTGGCAAGAATGGTCGTATGAATGTCGCGAAAGGAGGGAATCTTGCGAAATGAACGTTATTCGTATCAGGATCTGATGGTTTTCTTTAAGCATCAGCTTAGGGTGAAAATCAGATCTGATCGAAAGCGCTTGATTTCGAAATATTTCAACGAAAGGTGGGTAAGTGAGGCGAGCCTGGTTCGTGTGGACGGGGCTAACCTTGATTTTCTTTTTTAAGTCCTCTTAATGCAACGAGGTGGTTTCCTGTTGACCACCTCCCTGGTTAAGTTAAATACTATTTTGTGTTCCTAGTTAATGTGAATAAGTCACGTTCCCGGCCTGTTCCCGGCTTTTTCTTTTTTATGATTCATGTCGAGATTCCCAATCTCCCCACTTTGTTTTTGTCTCCTTTTTTTCATTTCGGCTGAGTTAGCCTTTGATTTTCCCATTCCGTCATTTATTTTCTCCTCTCTATTCCATTACTGAGTGTGCTTCTTGATTCTATCTCTCGATAGATTACAGCGGACCCTTTTATTATTTTGAGGGTTTGGTGTGTCTTACTAACATTTGTTTATTTCAGTTTTATCTTTGTGTTACAATTTTAGTTTGTTTTCTGGGTTGCCCCACCCCCTATCATTTCATGTATCCTGAAATTTTTATATATTTTTGCATATTTCGAAATTTTTATGTCATGGAGTGTTCTGTACGTCCCTTGTGAATATGTGATATTGTGGTACATGTAGGATTGGGATGTGATGCACAAGTTCTTGTGGTGATTGAGTATATTGCATTAAATGCATGGGTAGTGATTGTGGTTAACTAGGAATAGGATAGCTAGTGAAAGACTAGCCTTTCTCCACTTCCCCTTCGGCCTTGTGCCACAATTTTGTATTTTTATACAGAATTATTGATGGTCTGTCTAACGAGGCAACGTCACGGTCCGCTGTTGGCGAGTAAGGTCTTCGTTTTATGCGAAAGTGTTCAGACTTGACATACACTAAGACCTACAGCACCTATATGGAAACAACCCCGTAAAATATTATTGGGACAGTATCTGGTATAATTTTTTATCAATGACAATTGAACGCGTCATGTAACGAAACACTTATTGTGTTGCTTAAACATTAAAACCACAAAACACGAAAACATTTGACCGATCATTGTGAGTAGGGGTGCAGGGAAAGTAAAATAAAACCAGTAAATAAAATAATAACGAATTAAAAAAAAAAAAATTCCATGATGCAAGTTATAAAGAAACCGGAAAGGGTTTCTGGTCAGATGCGCGAGTTTATGGCCCTACTTCCGGAAATGACAGAATCTTCATATTTCGCCTCTTGGCTTCAAGATGTGAACCACCCGGCAATAGCGTTTCCGCTGGGTAATGTTAGTTTTTCAGGCCTACTGATGACTGAACCTTTTCCACGTACTAACGACATTGTCGGACGTGCTTTAACAGCCCTACTCATGGAGTAGATATTCGGCCATCCCAGCTCAAAACGAGGCTGGAGGACGCTGAGTATACCATAGACTGAACATGTGAGCAACTTGTACATAACATCAGAAAAAGATAGTTAAAATCTCTAAGGTACATAATGAGAAAAGAGGGCTTGGAAAATTTGACACTCACAAGACCTATTGAAGGAAAGAGGGACAGAGCAAAAAAAACTTAAGCTGCCTAACGATTTTGTGTAAATGGATAGCAGAAAAGGAATTAGGAAATATAGTGAAAAGAGCTACAAATAACAGGAAATTGTGGAGAGTCGTAATCGACTATCTACTGAAAGAACGCGGCGTGAAGAAGAAGAAGAAGAAGAAGAAGAAGAAGAAGAAGAAGAAGAAATCAGATGGAGCTAGCTGAAGCAGATAGCAGGAAAGACTGGATTCCATAAGCCTTGGGCGGCAACCTGTTTAGAAGAAAGCTACTCTTTATTCAAAACTGTATAAAGCCCTGGAGTAGGACATACAATATAACTAAAGAAAGGATCGTTCGCATTGGATCAATGATCCCGACTACGGTCAAATGATGATGATGATGAAATATCTGAGAAGCATTTTAACAGTGGAAAGAAAGAACGACACCGAAATCCGAAGACGCATTGGCATAGCGAAAGATGCCTTCCAAAACCTAAGCTAAGTATTGACAAACAGGGAAAATTAGTTAGAAATAAAGAAAATAATATGTAAACCTGACGTGGTCCCAGTCCTCCTATACGACAATCTCATTGCAGATGAGGAGAACACTTGGAGCAACATAAATATGGTTCTACAGGAGGATGTTGCGAATACCATGGGCTGAACATGTGAGCAAAGGCGAGTTTTTAGAGAAAATTGAAACAAAAAGTACATTTATATTTATCCTCAGAAAGAAACGACTGAAATTTCTTGGACGAATAATGAGGAGAGAAGGCTTGGAAAATTTGACACTCACAGGACATATTGAAGTCAAGAGGGACAGAAGAAAATGGCGCATAACCTACCTAACGAGATTAGGAGAGATATAAAAAAGACATAATTTACTAAGAACTACAAAGGAAGTTGTGGAGAGACATGGTCGCCAACGTCCTGAAGGAACAAGGTACACAGAAGAAGGGTAGTAATTATCAGACATAAGAAAAAGAGAAAGAGGAAAAGTTTGCTGCCTTATAAAAAGCATTGTAATTAGATTATTAAAATTTAATCTTAGCAAGAATGTTGAAGGCAGTGGAATTTCCGACTCTGAAGAAGAATTTTTTTTTTTAAAAACAACGAACATGGTTGTTTAAAATACTTTTAGAGTTTAAAGCAAAATGTGCAATTATGATTATATATATATATATATATATATATATATATATATATATATATATATATATATATAAACACAGAACGTGCTGATTTGAACGCGCTGCCTTCCATCATCATGGCTGATGCTAACCTCCAAGAAAGTGATTCGTTGTGCCTACTCGGGCTAAAGTTCTCGGCTGACATGAAATGAAAAAACTATACTGAGCTCACTGCTAGGTCAGCTGCTAATAAAAGTTAATTCACTCTGTTGTGTGAGACATTTTTTCTCTCTCTCCAGAATCTATCTTACATAATTATAAGTCTACTATTCGCCAGTGTTTAGAATATTGCTGCCACATCTGGTCTGGTGCCCCTGCTATTTACCTTTAGCTCTTTGATAAAATCGAAAAGAAAATCATCAATATTATTGGCCATGATCTGGCATCTCGGCTTCAATCACTTTCCCACCGCCGTAAGCTTGCCTCTCTGTACCTTTTTCTATAAATACTTTCATGGTTCTGATGAGCTCTTCGCTATGGTACGTAGACTTTTTTAATTTAAGCGCAGTATTAGATTGGCATCAAGATTTTATCAATTTACAGTTGATCAGCCGAGATGTAACCGTAAATTATATGCTAACAGTTTCTTTTCTCGCACTTCTTGCTTATGGAAATCCGTCTGGCTTTATGTTTTCCAGCCAACTATAATCTGCAAAAATTTAAACCCAATGTCAATCACTATCTGCTGTCTTCCAGATTGCTCTTTTCTCTTCCCGCTCTTTATTGTTTCTGTTCATAATTCTTCCACACCCTGTAACCTCTTGTGTCTTAGTGGCTTTACTCCCTTGCATGGGTTGGTACCGATTTTTTTTTTTCAAAAAAAGGTATGAAAGACGCCACCGCAAAATATATAAATAATATTCAAAAACATTTATAAAGGGCATAACAAGATTTGTTTTTTTAAATGCTTACCGCTTGTAATCGCTGTTATTATAAATTTAAAGCCTCTTCCAACGGGACCTGCCTCGTCTGTCCTGTAAATAACAAAATAAAAGAAAGATTAACAAAATCATATAAAGAAATAAAGCTTGAAAATCAGACAAATATCTATTGATGCAGGATTTGGTTTTACTCTTCGCCAATCAGAGAATCTAAATCTTCTGTGATTGAATTCATGCCGACTATGCGGTCAGATGTCTAACTATGTGGTTGAACAGCAAATGATCTCCGGTTTTGTTCATCGACTTTATTCTTCAAGAAATCAAGTGCATTGACATTTTATTCTGTTACATATTCACCATCATTTGCAATGACTTGTTACCGCTTATCATATCTTCGATAACTTTGTGAGTAAAATTTCTCAGATTTTTTATATACAGTGTAACCCGAATATAAGAGAGTTGTCGGGACCGGGGAAGAAGTCTCTTATATGCGGGTTTCTCTTATATCCGGGTTTGGTCTATTTTGTTTAGGTAAGTATGGGCTCTAATTTGGGACCAGAGAAAATCTCTCTTATATCCGGGTTTCTCTTATATCCGGGTTTGGTCTATTTTGTTTAGGTAAGTATGGGCTCTAATTTGGGACCAGTGAAAATCTCTCTTATATCCGGGTTTCTCTTATATCCGGGTTTGGTCTATTTTGTTTAGGTAAGTATGGGCTCTAATTTGGGACCAGAGAAAATCTCTTATATCCGGGTTTCTCTTATATCCGGGTTTGGTCTATTTTGTTTAGGTAAGTATGGGCACTAATTTGGGACCAGAGAAAATCTCTCTTATATCCGGGTTTCTCTTATATACGGGTTACACTGTATATCAAAAAAATCAGGTTAAGACAAATCCTTCATTCAGGTTTTCGTTAGAAAAAAGCTTTTCTGTATCAAAACGTTTTGCAGTGATTGGAAAAAAAGTGATAATTTATTGATACAAGGTTAGGTGAATATGGAAGTTGTGGTAGAAAAAACCAGGTGATTTACAAGATTTTTTCTGGGCTATTCATACTGAATGTGGCCTAGTGGTATCGTGATGGAGAACAACATTTTTCCATTCATCCACTGTGTACGCTGCCACTACCGTGCAATAACAAAGGTAAAGTACTTGTACCCCAAACATATTCCGTGGTGCTACATAGGATTATTATTGTGAATGATACAAACGTCATTAAAATTGGTTCTCTAAAACAAAAATTACTCATGACCAGTACTAGATCATCAGCTAGGTCCGGTCATTTTACAGATGAAACCGGAAGTTCTTTGCGAACAGTTTCTTCTCTCGTACTTCTCGCTGGTGGAACTCTCGTCGATGTTCTTGCTTTCAACTATGATGTTCAAATATTAAATAATTGTTTCAGACTATTATTTTTTTAGTAGCAGTGTATTTGGCTCAGAAATTCTGAGGCTGACCTAGGGGTCAACTGGCAGACAAAACAAATGAAGTCCTTTTTGATTGGTTAAAATTAGCGTTGAAAGGTTAAAGAGGTAGGGAGTGTTTTCAGAGAGTTAACTTTTACACATCGAAGAAATCAGACGGGGTTATTTCGAGTCTTGGAGAACTTGCTCCCCAATGGGGGGAGGGGTGACAAAGCGACCTCACTGGCTAGTTAAAAAAAAAATGTACACGTCGACGCGTTTAATAAAATAGATAAGTTTAAAGATCTCTTTTGGTGAAGTTCTCATTTTACCTCTGAGCAAATCAACTAGCGATCACCCGACCGGAAGATGACATCAAGAAGAAAGCAGCATATGAATGAATCAAGACCGTCACCCCAAGACTATCCGCAGCACGAGGTGGGTATACAACAATTATACAAAATGCACATCCAAGCTATAAATAGATAAGTTTAAAGATCCCTTTTGTTGAAGTTCTCATTTTACTCTGAACAAATCAACTAGCGATCACCCGACCAGAAGATGATATCAAGAAGAAAGCAGCATATGAATGAATCAAGACCGACACCCCAAGACTATCCGCAGCGCGAGGTGGGTTTACAACAATTATACAAAATGCACATCCAAGCTATAAATAGATAAGTTTAAAGATCCCTTTTTGTTGAAGTTCTCATTTTACTCTGAACAAATCAACTAGCGATCACCCGACCAGAAGATGATATCAAGAAGAAAGCAGCATATGAATGAATCAAGACCGTCACCCCAAGACTATTCGCAGCACGAGGTGGGTTTACAACAATTATACAAAATGCACATCCAAGCTATAAATAGATGTTTAAAGATCCCTTTTGTTGAAGTTCTCATTTTACTCTGAACAAATCAACTAGCGATCACCCGACCAGAAGATGATATCAAGAAGAAAGCAGCATATGAATGAATCAAGACCGACACCCCAAGACTATCCGCAGCACGAGGTGGGTTTACAACAATTATACCAAATGCACATCCAAGCTATAAATAGATAAGTTTAAAGATCCCTTTTGTTGAAGTTCTCATTTTACTCTAAACAAATCAACTAGCGATCACCTGACCAGAAGATGATATCAAGAAGAAAGCAGCATATGAATGAATCAAGACCGACACCCCAAGATTATCCGCAGCACGAGGTGGGTATACAACAATTTACCAAATGCACATCCAAGCTATAAATAGATAAGTTTAAAGATCCCTTTTGTTGAAGTTCTCATTTTACTCTGAACAAATCAACTAGCGATCACCCGACCAGAAGATGATATCAAGAAGAAAGCAGCATATGAATGAATCAAGACCGACACCCCAAGACTATCCGCAGCACGAGGTGGGTTTACAACAATTATACCAAATGCACATCCAAGCTATAAATAGATAAGTTTAAAGATCCCTTTGTTGAAGTTCTCATTTTACTCTGAACAAATCAACTAGCGATCACCCGACCAGAAGATGATATCAAGAAGAAAGCAGCATATGAATGAATCAAGACCGACACCCCAAGACTATCCGCAGCACGAGGTGGGTTTACAAACAATTATACCAAATGCACATCCAAGCTATAAATAGATAAGTTTAAAGATCCCTTTTGTTGAAGTTCTCATTTTACTCTGAACAAATCAACTAGCGATCACCCGACCAGAAGATGATATCAAGAAGAAAGCAGCATATGAATGAATCAAGACCGACACCCCAAGACTATCCGCAGCACGAGGTGGGTATACAACAATTATACCAAATGCACATCCAAGCTATAAATAGATAAGTTTAAAGATCCCTTTTGTTGAAGTTCTCATTTTACTCTGAAAAATCAACTAGCGATCACCCGACCAGAAGATGATATCAAGAAGAAAGCAGCATATGAATGAATCAAGACCGACACCCCAAGACTATCCGCAGCACGAGGTGGGTTTACAACAATTATACCAAATGCACATCCAAGTTATAAATAGATAAGTTTAAAGATCCCTTTTGTTGAAGTTCTCATTTTACTCTGAACAAATCAACTAGCGATCACCCGACCAGAAGATGATATCAAGAAGAAAGCAGCATATGAATGAATCAAGACCGACACCCCAAGACTATCCGCAGCACAAGGTGGGTTTACAACAATTATACCAAATGCACATCCAAGCTATAAATAGATAAGTTTAAAGATCCCTTTTGTTGAAGTTCTCATTTTACTCTGAACAAATCAACTAGCGATCACCCGACCAGAAGATGATATCAAGAAGAAAGCAGCATATGAATGAATCAAGACCGACACCCCAAGACTATCCGCAGCACGAGGTGGGTATATACAACAATTATACCAAATGCACATCCAAGCTATAAATAGATAAGTTTAAAGATCCCTTTGTTGAAGTTCTCATTTTACTCTGAACAAATCAACTAGCGATCACCCGACCAGAAGATGATATCAAGAAGAAAGCAGCATATGAATGAATCAAGACCGTCACCCCAAGACTATCCGCAGCACGAGGTGGGTTTACAACAATTATACAAAATGCACATCCAAGCTATAAATAGATAAGTTTAAAGATCCCTTTTGTTGAAGTTCTCATTTTACTCTGAACAAATCAACTAGCGATCACCCGACCAGAAGATGATATCAAGAAGAAAGCAGCATATGAATGAATCAAGACCGACACCCCAAGACTATCCGCAGCACGAGGTGGGTATACAACAATTATACCAAATGCACATCCAAGCTATAAATAGATAAGTTTAAAGATCCCTTTTGTTGAAGTTCTCATTTTACTCTGAACAAATCAACTAGCGATCACCCGACCAGAAGATGATATCAAGAAGAAAGCAGCATATGAATGAATCAAGACCGACACCCCAAGACTATCCGCAGCACGAGGTGGGTATACAACAATTATACCAAATGCACATCCAAGCTATGAATAGATAAGTTTAAAGATCCCTTTTGTTGAAGTTCTCATTTTACTCTGAACAAATCAACTAGCGATCACCCGACCAGAAGATGATATCAAGAAGAAAGCAGCATATGAATGAATCAAGACCGACACCCCAAGACTATCCGCAGCACGAGGTGGGGTATACAACACAAGCATTTAGATGCAATGTCAGTCGTTATCCTGGCTTTTGTCGGGAAATTTAAAAATTAATATTAGCTCAAGCCACAGGGGACAATCTCCCTAGGCAGTACCACCCCTTCGGGAGCGGAGGTTGGGATCATTATCTAGCATCTAAGGCTTCCCCCAAAAAAAGGTAAATACCGTGGTGGCCTGAGCAATTATTTCACGGTATTGTCAGTAAATCCTCTTTAAATCTTGTACTTGTGCCACATTTGTTTGCGACGTGAGCGCACTGAAAAACTCCGTTATATTTTGTTTTCTTGATTCCTGTTCGTATGTTTTTTCTCGCTCCTCAATAGGTTTTTTCTTCATAGAGATGCGTGTTGAGATCCTCACAGAATTTAATATTGTTTAAGTTATCGCTAACGTTTTTTGTCGAGATTTACAAACTCTGTTTTTATTTTAATTTAGCAAACCAATCGATGAAATTCAAATAAGCAGATTTGTTTGAAAAAAAAACAAAAAAACAAAACACGTTGACAAAAACCCTACATCGCAGTTTAATAATTTCTTTAATTGAATTTAATTTTATAGGACTTCATGTTAAACAGTATTTGTTTAAGAAAAGATCCTAAAGAAAATATACGCAAAAAAGGCATAATTTGCAGTGTAACACGCGCGCTTAGTTCGCATTAAAAGTTTACAGAATACTTACATTTGTAAATGTGCATCCTCCATTCGAATCTAACTTGATAATTTTGATAAAATCTACCGTTTTGGGGGTTATTGACAGTGAAAATTCGGATTCATTCGCGTCGAGGGCAACTATTACGGGCGTTGTTTGCATACATTCGCTGCGGAATAGCTATCAGTGCGCAAAGTGAGCGTGTTTACGTAAATAGTTCTCGTGCGCAGTAATTGAGACAAATTTAGACAAGAAAGATCAGTTCCGAGCTGATCTTTCCGTAGTCTTCCGCGTTTAGCTTTCCGTGTTTAGCTTTCCGCGTTTAGCTTTCAGCAACGAATCTAAGCAAACAACGCAAGTAATGGCTGCCGCCAACGATGCGACTGAATCCCAAATTTCACTGTCGATAAGTCCAAAACGTTAGGTTTCATCATATTTATCAAGCCAGATTCAGATGGAGTATGTACAGTTACACATTAAACGTAAATATTTTGGAAAATTTTAATGCAGACTGAGTGCGGGTGTTATACTGCAAAAATATTGCAGTTTTATTAAATAGGAATTTGTTATTCTAATCATTAAATTGATTTTTTTTTGTTTTGTTTTTTAATCGTGGGAGTATTTTATATGTTAAATAATAAAACTTTTAATTAAAAAAAAAATAAATAAAAACAATAGTGAACATTTATTGTACTAAATTACGCACCCTAGTAAAACCAACTGTATTTTGTACCCCCCCTAACTGTTTGTATTTCTCCCCAAATTCAGTCTCGATCGATCAATCTATATTGATATTTTAGAGGGCGTGACAGACAGACGGACTGACTAACGGAATTTAACAGAATTTTAAATATGGATAAAAACTATAATTCTCCGTAACCCCTTGCGTCTTTGGTTGTCGGTTTTGTTGTTTTTGTGTATCGGCATATCAACACATCTATGGGTTATTTAATGCAGAAATTTAAATGTTTTGCACGTAATTTTTAATTTTAAAAAATTTTTTTTTTGAGATTATAATTCTTTTAGTGATACAAGTTTTATTAGTGAAGCCATAGCTGGTGTGGATTCATGCCTTTCCCAAGGGTATTTACGCATGAGTGAATATAATGAACCTAACTGGAATTGAAACTCAACTCTAAAAATTCCAAGTAATTATACATTACACCACCTGCACATCCAAGTTTCCAGAACCTGGTATTCCCAATGTGTCACCCATCTAGTTACGTTGCTTAACTTCAGTGATTTTACGGAGACCGCTGTTTCAATATGGTGTGGCCGGCAGCCCTGACATCTTAATGACTTTAACCCTAGAACAATAACCATGGGTATATAGTACCCAGCACAAATTTTCCTGTTTAATTACAATTTTCAGTACCTGATTTTCTTACCTAAATAATATGTTTTTCAGTTCCTATTAAAGTTAACTCAAAGTACAAAGTTTGAAGTGCCTGCATGTAAAATATTTCAAATAAAGATATATATTTAATATTGATGTAATGAATATGTATACACCTGGGTTTCCCCTCACAGTAATATGATTGGCTCGTGTCAGCCATAAATACAGACTGATGAGGAGGTACATTGGTCTACGCCTATTGTCTACCCCCATTACCTATGCCTATTGCCTACGCCTATTGCATAAGCCTTAGCATAGGCATAGGTAATAGGCATAGGTAATATCCCTTTCCGGGATATATCAAATATTTTTTTGATATTTTCAAAATCGGGTATGATATACCCATGGTTTGTAGTGGTGTAACTTTAATTGATGGTTAGTGTTCTAGGGTTAATAACTTGCTTCGGGTGAAATGATAAAAAAAACTCAACGTAATATTATTTCTGTGGCCGAATCATGCATACAGGTCCTCAACTGTTGTGTTTTGAGCATTGGTCTAACATTGCAGGATATAAAATCATTCTACGGGGACAAGTTATTTTTCTAGTTATCAGATGCTTTCAAAATATGAGCGTCGGTCAAAATGTTGAACCTGTCCTTTAATTCCAATAGGTTTAATAGTACGAGTAGACAATGTATGCTAACATGAACACAAAAGTCTCAATATTAGAAATATAGTCTTTAACGTAATCTCTTTTCATCGTAATTATGGGAAGGAGGGTCGGTCAAAAAGTAACGCCTGTTCTACTTTAATATTTACGATTGATGTACAACAGGTATTACTAAGAGACGTTGAATTTAATCGCAGAAAAAACAAAAAGCTTACCAAAATTAATACAATGTCTAAGGATTCCCAATGTCGTTCTCATCATGGTCGCCTTTCTTGTCAATACTTGTATGAAAGTCAGTCAAAAAGCAGCGCCTGTTTTTTTTTTAATTACCTCAGATTTAATAGTTGGAGCACACAAATATATCAAAATGAATACAGATGTCTAGGAATTCAGAATTTTTTTTTTTGTTACTACTGTTCACCCAATTCAAGGCTCAAGAGACATTCAAAGCATATGGTGATGTAATAACGTAAGAAAGAATAAGCGTTAGAAGTACAAGGTTTAAGAAGACTTTAAGGAACCGGAAACCAATCCTAAACAGAAAACAAGGGATAAATATCTAGTCTTGTTCAAAAGACCGGAGAGGAGTGTGAACCGGACGATAGGCGAACCTATCTACTCCTAGTTTTCAATTTAGTCTCAGTGAATTCTGGTTGTACGAAGGTCTTTCAAAATTAATGCTCGTTCTTCTTTAATTAGCACTGATTTAATAGGAAAAAAAACATGGCGCATACTAAAATGAACCCCAAAAGTGTCAGGCTTCTAAATATAGTTTTCAAAATGGTCTCCTTCTTTATCAGTCGCTTTAAGACTATTACCCGTTACTATTTTACTCATATAATAGATTTAACAGTAGAAACACACGAAACTAGAAGGGGTGAAGCTACAGGCTACTAGGCAACCGCCCTATGATTTTTTGCCAGAGAATTATATTCCATTGAAGACACGAAAATGACTTAACATTTTCATAGTAGCAAGTACGGCTATTGGCTTGAAGTTTAACAATAAGAAAAAGTTCACTCACAGCTCCTGACCTTATGCCATATATAGTTGAGCATGGCCTGGCTCATAAGCGAAAGATGTATATATTGCTCAACGGAATCAATGGTTGATTTTCGAACCCAAGTGAGACGCTAGAATTCTAGACGGGCCTACAAACGAGCCTCTTCAACTCGGAAAATTATCGTAACACACAGTCTTTCTACGGCACCGATTATTTCGTCCGATGTTGGAGTAAGCGAAAGTTAGTAATTATCGAGAAGGGTTTTAAAAATGATCCCCTACGGCTTTAGAAAAATCATAATAACTGAATGGTAATAATGATCGGCTTGGCTCTGTTTTTAAATTTTTTTCTATTACGTTCGACGGTTTGGAGAGGGATAATAGAAACCTTTAGGAATAGGCTAAGTTGCCTTGTCCTTATTAATCTATTGCTATGAAAGACGAGAAGTGAGCTGGTTTCAACTGCGGTGTAGAATTAAGGCGGCGGTTGTGGGGTTTAAGAGCATTTGATGAGGGAAGAGACGTTGCGTGGTCATCTCTTTGTTGGCTACATCTTTGCCGGATTTGGTCATTCATCATTCAAATGACCAATCAAGTGGTTCTAATCCTAACCGTCATGTCCGACAAATTGTTTGGGTTATTGATGTCTTCCTGACTTGGTTAGAATACCAGCAGGGAGATTTCGAAGTGCAATTTCATAATAAGAGATTTCGAGACATGGAAAAGAAAGAAAGAAAGAAAGAAAGAAAGAAAGAAAGAAAGAAAAAGGGGGAGAGAAAAAAAAGAAAAAAGAAAGCAAAGAAGGACGAGTATAAGAAACAAATGAATAAAAGCAATAATGAAGGAAAGAGAACAAAAGAAAGATTGGAGAAGGAAAAAGTAACATGAACAAAATAGAGAAAGAAAGAAAATAGAAAGGAAAAGGTAAAGAGAAAGAAGTGAAGAAAGAAAGAAAGAAAAAAAAGAAAGAAGGAGAAAGGAAAGAAAAAGGTAAAGAAGGACGAATATAAGAAACAAAAGAATAAAAGGAATAACGAAGGAAAGAGAAAGAAAAACAAACAAAGAAATTATCGGAGAAAAATACAAAAAAGAGACATTCACAAAATAATGAAAGAAAGAAAAAAAGAAAGAAAAGGAGGAAAAGAGAAAGAAAGAAAGAAAGAAAGAAAGAAAGAAAGAAAAGGAGGAAGAGAAGAAAGAAGAAAACACAGACAGGCGAGTATAAGAAACAAAAGAATAAAAGGATTAATGAAGGAAAGAGAAAGAAAAAAGAAAGATTGAAGAAGAAATAAGTAACATGAACAAAATACGGAAAGAAAGAAAATAGAAAGAAAGAAAGTAAGAAAAAGAAAGAAAGAAAGAAAGAAAGAAAGAAAATTGCAAAGAAAGGCGAATATAAGACAGGCGGCTATTTTTCAAGTTTATGAGGCTTTTTTGTCAGCCATTTTTCTTGATTAAAAAGGAGTGGAAAATAGAAAAAAAAAAGAAATAAAAAACCAAAACAGAATAATATAATCGTGAAAGAAGCGAAGAAGGAAAGAGGGGAGAGAGAGCGAGTGAGAGAGAGAGAGAAATAGCGAGTGGGAGAGAAAGAGAGAGAGAGGAAGTATTGAATACGAAAGGGGATCAGTAAGTCTGTCTACTGAAAAGTCATTATAATCTGAAATTTGATCTGAACGTTTCACTGTATAATATTCTACCTACGCCATTAAAGCCCGTGCGTTTGGTTAAGTGCATTGCTTAGAAAGGACATTATGTTGATAACTAAAGATTTTATGCGTGAAATGAATCTTTTTTTTAATCATTACGCTACAGACGGCGTAAGACAATGAGAGAGGAAGAAAGAGAAAAAAAAAGGTTAGCAGCAGGTTTTAAAAACGAAGAAGATTCAAGAAAAGACGGAATAAAATAAGTTTTAAAAAAAAGAGAGAGAAAATTAGGCAAAATGAAGAAACGGTATTTCTCTTTTTAATTTTTTTTTAGACCGAACATGACGTTTCAGTCACTCTGCCTTTTGGCTTTCGTCGGCAGTTTATCACATTTCGTATCCGTCTAGGAATTTAAAAAAAGAATCAACAATATCGTCCTTAAACGCGAAAAGGGGCGATGAAAGACATAGTCCATTTGCCTCAATTTTGACTACCTTTTATTTAACACCGCGCTGATATATATATATATATATATATATATATATATATATATACACACACACACACACACACACACACACACACACACACACACACACACACACACACACACACACACATATATATATATATATTACATTACAAAAAAAACAAAAATTACCTCAACATAGAGATAGCCCGTTCTGTAGGCGGCTTTCATCAGCCACTAAATGTGTGTCTCGAAGCATTGTTTTAAATTTATTTTCAATGTCAGTCCACCTCTGTAGATGCCTTGTTAATGAGAATGTGCTTGTGTTAGTGATTGGGATGGAGGAATCGGTGAACCGAGTTCGAATTCCAATCGGATCCATTACATTCACTTATGTGCTAATACCCTTGGGAAAAGTATGAATCTTCTTCTTCTTCTCTCCCCACCCCACGTCTATGGGCAAATAGCAGGACAGACCGGGTTCTATAGCCTTGGATGACAACACGTCTACCTCAGAAAGAAATGGCAACCTACTTCGGAAAAAAAATCTGCTTCGTCAGTCATGTATCGAAAGTTACACGACCGCCTACGCGTGTATCACGCATGCCACATAACTGACTGACACTATACATCCAATAAACAGACCTGATAAGTTTTCTTATTCAAGATGGAAGGATACTGCTGTAATAGCTCTTGGAACACATCCCACTAAACAATGCCTCTCACAGCTGACTAGCTTGTTGAATGCAGTCGGGACGAGAAGACAACTTGTAATAAGACCTTGCTCCTTGTGAAAGTTGGTTATTCCCCAAGTCGAGGGAGAACCTAGGTACCAGTCGTTTTGGAAGATACTGAGAAGATGAAGGCGGCTGTGACAAGTTTCCTGGTGGTCTCCACATTCATGGAACCTTCACGAAGTGTCTGGAGCGCTACAACAAGGCCACCGAAGTCAGGCGACCTTACTTTGAAGTAGATTAGAGTTTTGTACATCTTTGAAATTAACAAATGTCTTTCCTTAAAACATCTGGAATGAACATCGTAGATATTTAATATTCAAATATCGGTAATAAATAAAACTTAAAGATGTTTTATTTTTTTACAGTGTTCAGTATAAAAGAGGGCTATACAACGTCTTGTACGGGTCGTTTGTTTTGTCTTTAAAACGTGTAAAGAAGTCGGCATCTGATGATCAAATTTATGGCGAAACTGATAGCTGTCACTGAAATTTTGTACAAACCGGGAATTTCTACTTTTAAAAGGTGTTTTCAATAACACTCGTCTATATCGAATTCATATAGTTTGGTTTTGTTTTGTTTACGGTATATCAACCTCAATAGGTTATTTAATGCCGACAAGAATTTTAGGATAGGTTCGTATAAATAGAATATCTATCAAGAATTTTAGTTTAGTTTTGTATAAATAGAATATCTATCAAGAATTTTAGTTTAGTTTTGTATAAATAGAATATCTATTAAGAATTTTAGGTTATGAATAGAAAATGTATCCGTTATAAAAAAATCAGTCGTAGATCAGGTTTCATTGACAAATTTTTGTAAAGAGGTTTTTTTTTTATTATTATTAAGAGTCAAATGTATTGCTGGTAATATATTTTTCTTTTCAAAAAATATATTGCTGGTAAAATTTTTACAAAAAGTATATTTTTTATACTTTCATAGTGTTTTGGCCCAAGTTTGGTGGGGTTAACTATTTGCCCATATCTGACACCCTAACAGGTGCTACCACCCACAGGGCATGGTCTACCTAGGAACAACAACAATTAAGAGATGATTCCATGCTCCACAAAAACTCCCGATCTTGCTGTCGGATGTAGTTTATCGTCATACCCAGGACACCTCCTTGATGGGAGGGTTACCATAATCCAGAGATGAAATCAGCGTATTCTGAAGCCCCAGCTTGCATGGCGGGGGGGATTCATATATATATATATATATATATATATATATATATATATATATATATATATGTGTGTGTGTGTGTGTGTGTGTGTGTGTGTGTCTGAAAATCGCTACACAGATGCAGTCGTTTTTCGATGCGTATCAATGCATCTCATCAGGCGATTTTAAATTACTGGCGAGCGAACGGTTTATTTAGATTTAAAATAAACTACAAACTTTTTTTTTCGAAAAAATGAAAAGTGGGTGTATTAGGTTTGTGGGTTTTACTCTGACCAACCAATCAAATATGACCTACGTTAAACTGAAAGTAAGCGAAGAAGCAAAACTTTAAAAAATTACTTTTTAGAAATGGGTCATGACCTGTAAAATAGGCAGCGGACGACAGCCAGACATAAACGGATACCTAAATTATACAAACTATACAATGCCATTACCTAAGAACTAAAAATGCCATTACCTAAGAAATAAAAATGGGGTGGAGAGGTAATTTAGCAAAATGCTAAACAAGATATATGCTCTGTGAGTTTCCTCCATAATTTTTTTTTATAGTTGATAAAGAAATAGCTTCTTTAAGAAACTAGTAAATAATTTAAACGTATAGAATTATTTGGTAAATTAATATACAACTGTCGAATAAAGATTCTTCATATACGATGTCAGTAACACTAACTAATCAATATAAAATGTCAAAAATACCAACCAAATACCTACACAGCCATACAAGATGTTACTAGTACTACCAGAGATTCATACAAAATTATATAAAATCCAAATTAATCTTACAAATAGAAAGATAACAATACGTGTTGCAATGTAGTACAACTAAAATATAAAAAAAGCATAATCACATTTCAAAGTTTAATTAATTTGTAAGGTAAACAGTAAACCATGTTTACAATTTACTATTAATTCGTTCCTTTGATTTAATAAGAATTTTTTTGAATCTGATAATTTCCAGTTTTTCATGTAGGTACAGAAAACAGGGTTCATATAAAGATCTTCATGACTTTGCCGTTTTTAGAATTTCCCATTTCACCTTAGGAGTCTTATTATCATCTTTTAAACTCCAAAAATATTTAGGAAGTGATGTAAGTATTATAAGTGAAGGACAAGGTATGTTGATACCACGTAGTTTTGGAAGAATTCTTAGTACTAGCAATATAGAATTTTTCAAACGTCGGATTTACAAAGATAAACAAGAGATTTAGTTAAACATTTGTTCGGCAATCGGCATTGTTCAGAATTCCTACAATTACATAGGCCAGTATCATTAATATTTCCCTTGGATCGTGTATTATGACCCAGATTTTTAAATTGGTTTAAAATTTTATTATTGTGTAACTTTATAATCTTATCAAGATTATTGGTGCAGCTATAACTTAGTTTTAATGTGCTTCCGTTAAATATTTTATTAAGAGGGTTACGTTTAGGAAAATATTTATCAGTCATTTAGAGGAACTTATAACCTAACTTAGTACTGACTAACTGATTAAATGTAGGTGTGTAATAAATGATCTTTCTATTTCTGTTTCTTTTCTTTGGACCACTATCATCATATTTTCTAAACTTGATTTCAGCTCACTTATAAGCAATATTCTTTAAAACTTAATTATACACACCGCTATATTTATCAAAAACATTTTTGTCCAATCAGTAGTTGATAATCCTATGTTCCACAGACGAATGTTGGATTACAGATGGATGGTGGTTAGAATTGGGGTGAATATAAATTCGGTTGGTATTATTTATCATATAAGGTTGAAATATATTATTAACGAAATCTAACGTAACATTAAGAAAATCTACTTGTCTAACATTAGTACTTATTTTAACCTAAAGATATACTATTTTTAGTTCTCTATGAATCATTTTTCTTAATTTATCTACTTTAATTTTAGTGGAATGTTTTTACTACCATAATATCATCATCTCTATATAAATCTATACTATCAGCATTGACATCTTCATAGGCAGTAAGGTTATATAAAAATAAATAAACCCACCAGATCAGAAGACACTGCACAATCTAATGATCCCATTGAAATATCAAAGTAATCATTAAAGTTGTTAACTCACTCTTCTTTATTGCGGATGAGAACAGATCTCCTACAGTTTATTATTATATTTATCTCTTAACTGGAGGTGTTAGAATATTCTTTGGCAAATTCCAAAGCCAGGGTAAAGAAATCCTTGGAGATAGAAGGGTAAAAATTCACAATATCAAACTGGATAAAAGAGCAGAGGCTTTTGTTACTGGTACTGGATTGGTACTACAGATGTTAATGACATCTGTAGTACCATTCCAATGTATAAATCCAAGGCGTTTTTGATCTGTTTTTTTGGACGGATCCAGGAGATATGGTAGGGTTTATGATCCTCGTAGGAAGTTTGGTCTGAAAGTCTGGCTTATGATCTTTAAGTAATACATACGATTCTTTAGTACGGAGTTTATTAACCCTATTGTTGATTTTGAGTTTATCAGTAATATTTCTAGAAGCAGTGTTAATTTTATCAACACGATTAATATTGTTAATATCTATCTTATAAATCTTAGTCAAACTGTTTTTGTTTAATACATAGTATTCTTTGGGATTAAATTTGTAAAAATTAGTAGTTTTATCAGATTTAACAAATATTTGGTTGGTTTTATTAATACCCTTATCTATACAATCTAAATGCCTCTGAAACTGATTCCTATTTCTGTGAAAAGTAATGTCATTTATAATGTTTAGGAGATCAGTTTAAAAGCCATGGAAACATTCAATGACAGATGCAGTTTTTATATATGAAAAAATATACTTTGAAGGTAGTTATTTGCATTCATTTCATTTGACACTTCCTTCTCTATTCTTCCTTTCTTTAACGGCATATTTATTTCCTATTTTCCTATTTTAGCAAGAAACTGTAATCTCTTTCTTATTCTTTTAAATCACCATTTTTTTTATTTTTTTATCTATCTATCTATCTATCTATCTATCTATCTATCTATCTATCTATCTATCTATCTATCTATCTATCTATCTATCTATCTATCTCACTTTATTCATTATCTATCTATCTATTTATGTATCTGTCTATCTCACTTTATTCATTATCTATCTATCTATCTATCTATCTATCTATCTATCTCACTTTATTCATTATCTATCTATCTATCTATCTATCTCACTTTATTCATTATGTATCTATCTAGCTATCTCACTTTATTCATTAAGTATGTATGTATGTATCTATCTATCTCACTTTATTCATTATCTATCTATCTATCTATCTATCTCACTTTATTCATTATCTATCTATCTATCTATCTATCTCACTTTATTCATTATCTATCTATCTATCTATCTATCTAATTCAAATCTAATCTAATTCAAATCTAATCTAATTCAGATCTAATCGAATCTAATTCAGATCTAATGTATCTATCTATCTAATTGTGATCAAATTAATCTATCAATCAATCAATCAATCAATCAGTCAATCTCTCTCTCTCTATATATATATATTAATTATGTGTGCCTGCAGATAATTTTATATACTATTCTCTATGTTCTGTAAAAAGTGTTACACGCACATACACATGTACAAGCGCGCGCGCACACACACACACACACATACGTGCATTTGCACACATGCACTCACATTCTCATACGCACACACATACACTCTCACGTGGCTTTGGCAGAGGGATTGCTGTAAAAGAATTTTTGCCCTTATCCCAATTTTTTTTTCCAGAGAAAACGTCTGTCACGTGACAATTGTGACTCACAAAACTTTATATTTGTGGGGAAGTTTCTTTTGTTGCCCTTGCGGGAAAGCTGATTCATACAATATTCCTTCCATTTTTGAATATGAAAGAAAAAAAAAAATGGAATTTCACCGAAATTAGAGAAATATAAAAGTATAGTAACAGTCTTTTCTTTCTCTGTGTGTATGTGTGCGTGTATGTGTGTGTGTGTATGTATTTGTACGTATCTGTGTCTGTGTCTGCGTGCGTGTGCGTGCGTGAGTGTGTATGTGCATATGCGTGTGTGTGTGTGTGTGCGTGTGTGTGTGTGTGTGCGTGTGTGTGTGCGTGTGTGTGTGCGCGTGCGTAAGTGTGTGTGTTTGTGTGTATGAGTGTGTTTGTGTGTGTGCTTGCGTGTGTGGCTGTGCGTGTGTAGCCGTGCGTGTGCGTGCGTGTGTGTGTCTGGTTGTGTGTGTGCGTGCGTGTGTGAGCGTGTCTGTGCGTGCGTGTGTGTGTGTTTGTAAATATAAAATATTCATCACAATTATAAAGAAGAAATGACTAAGATGTACGATGTGAAAAAAAATATAATTAACTCGTAAAAATATTTCAAAAATTAAAATGGAAGTAAATGGATGCAGTCCCGAGTTACGTCCCTTTGCGTTTTTTTTGTTTTTGTTTTTTTTTTTTGGTTTCTTTTTTGTCGTCTGTTAAGATTTCATTAACTTAATCACGTTTTAATCGCGTTTGTCTTTTTTTTTTTTTCAAAAAATTCACTGCTTAAAAATTCGAAAAAAAAAATCATTTTTTAATTTTTAATGATTGAATTAAAAAAAAATTGGAAAAAGGAATAAAAAAAATGATAGAGAAGGTTGTGTCTGTGACTAACAAAGAAATGTTATACAATTCCCTCTCAAGCAGAGGACGGAAATAAGAATTAGAATAAAAAGTTATGGAATGAAAGAAAGAAAGAAAAAATGAAAGAAAAAAGGAAGAAAGAAAGAAAGAAAGAAAGAAAGAAAGAGAAAAGGAATTAATTAAATATAAAATGATAGAAAAAAGAAAGTGCACAAACTAAAGAAATAAGAAATAACAGAAGAACGAGAAAAAAAATTCAAGTAAAGGAAATGGTAACAAGTGTCAAATTGAATTGCAAGTCAGTATCATGGAATTGAAGACGGCACCAGGATTGAAATGTATCAAATAATTCTTGTTTTTTCTATAAAGATACAA